TGGGTTGTAGAGTCTGATGTTCTAAAAGAAGAATCTCTGCTCTTGTCGGAAATTGAACCCTGGGCATTTAACTTGCAGCCTGTGACTTCTGTACGGACTGAGATTGGTCGATCTCGTGTCATTGCAGAGTCGGCTACACATAGGCCCAACATAATAGGCTTATTAATTTCCGGGGGGCTGTGCAAATAACTTATGTGTTAGTCACCACAGCCAAACGAAATGCAAGCAGACCTGTCTTTCTCCACCGCCTGTTGTTTGGCCTAAATTAAATTCATGTGGAATGTTGTTTGTGCATTCTGTACTTTGTGTATTGTGCCACTTTTGCGTCAATGATTGTTTTATTCATGTGTACAATTCAAGGATTTGAAGCGATGACGTATGCACGTAATACATGTCATTGGCTTGTGCCAAGAGTGAGAGAGAACGAGAGAATTTAGGATAGAAAGAAAGAATGGTATGTGCCTTTGATGTTGTGCGATCTCTATAGAAGCTTTGATTAGATTTCTACGCCGAAAGGAACCGAATGAGAAGCCTTCTTCAGGTATGCTGTCCAGCTTTGTCCAACCGATGCTAATAACTGAGAAATATCAGTGCATTGTTTTAACATTTGAAAGTAAATGATCTCTGAGACCTACATCCATTGAAGGACAAAATGTAACTTCCAACCTACAAGTTTCTTTAAAGCAAGTGATCGAGAGAAATTTGTATCTTCTTAAATCCTGGTATATAACGTGAAGAATTTAGGGTGTAATTTGAAAATTAAGGAGCTTTATAATGTATATAGATTACCTTGCGTTGGTAGGAGAGTGAAATTTTGGGGGCTAGTTAGGATGGGCAAGGCAAATGACGTCAGTAAACGAACGCAGAATAATTAATTGGTTAATCTAGTTGGCTCGTCCCTAAAACAGGCAATCATCAGACTGCAGGCTATAGGCTTTGTAAATGTCTTATTTATCAATTGATTTTATCTCAGATCTGTTTACATATGACTTACGGTCTTGGAAAAGTAATTGTAGCAAAACTATTTATAATAATAACTCTCGACGTGTAGATAACATAATTTACAGAGTTTACTGGGCTTGTGGGCTACATTTAGATTAATGTAACTGGATGTAGCGTACCACAATTTAGTAATTCTATCGTGTGACGAACGCCGACGGACTATCCTGCTTATAATTCGGGTTCTTCGTAGACAGTCCTGTTCGAACATTTTAAATGTCGCTAGAAAATTATGTTCCCGCATTTTACACCGCTCATTCTATTTAATATCGGAAGGCAGGCATAGGCTTATGAGGCCTGTGTTGTAATCATGTCCAGGATATCTTTGTCGCATATCAACGTTTTAACCAGGTGACAGATGTTCATGAAACTTGGTATGAGTATCGTGCCAGTAGATACCACTCCACCTTTGTCCTTCTTAATTTAGTACTGTTAGCTATTTCAGCACCAATAACGCCAGCCGTGTGAACTTCTGAGATTTAAGCGAAAGTTAAAGACATACGAGCAGGGTCGCTGCTCAATGTCAGAGAGATGGCAAACCGATAAGATCACCGAAGCGTCACTTTCTTAGGTGATGCACCCGTGACTCAACGACAGACAGCTCAGAAGAAAGATTTGTTCAAATTATTCCCTTGCCTGAGCCAATAAACATCACCTAAGTTTCTAATGTTTATATCCGAATCGGCAGATGATTGCCTACATCCTACTGGATCCAACAGCCGGTTCCTGTGAACAGCGCAACGAACATTCAGGTTTCATAAAAAGTGGCTATCAGGTTCTCAAGAAAGATTCTTTGCCATTTAGTTAGTTATTCTGTAGTTGTACCACTTCATTCAGACCCTAAATATTTCATATACTTATAGTTTCTAGTTCCGTCATTGCTTGCATAGGCATTTGTAGATAACATTCAAATAACTACAGCTATCGGCAAATGGTTTTTTACTTTGTAAAATTAATTTTTTTCGTCTGGTGTTATGACAGAATTTTATCATCTATAATATTTTATGTTTTCGTCGACGTTTGTCACTTCACCGATTACCATATTTGCATAGTGAGTCCGTAACTTGCAGCTGGTTCGTCCTTACGTCGTAAGTTTTACGCAGTGCAAGAAAACGAAGTCCGGTTGTCTACATAGACCTACTACGTATTTACTTTACACACAGGCAGATAAATGTTATCTAAACATTGTATGATGTATTTATGTTTCTTCCTGGAAGCATTACTGACTCCTACTCAAGGAAGTGACGTAACCGCTAACACGGATCAAACTAAAATTGGATCCGTGTCATCTTCCAACTAACTAACTAACTAAATGGCTTACCGAACTCGAAGGTTCATCACCGAATTAACCAAAGCCCTCCACTGGACTCTGTCCTGGACCAACAAAATCCAGTCTCCTTCAACTCCTATCTCCCATAGATCCCGTCTGACATTATCCTCCCATCTACGTCTAGGTCTCCCCAGCGGTCTCTTCCCCTCAGGCATCCCAACCAATACCCGGTGCATCGTCATCTTCCAAACTTATCGAAATTGAACGAGTCGTAAAGGACATCCTACTCTGTTATCAACTAACTTTCACATGGAGATGTATACACGTTATTGAAAACGCAGGTTATAAGCACTTAGGCGTAATAGTCCCACTTCTGAGAATAGCGAGCAAGTCCTTCGAATTGAAGAAATTCAAAATAGGTCTACCCTATTTAGGAACGAAAGTAACTAATCACAATTAGGTCCACATTTACGAAACAATTAACACCAGATTAATTGTGGCATTAAGCACTCCTGAAACGTAAACAGCTACCAGACTACACCCCCCCTACCCAAAGTCTTCATATTATCCGCCTTGAAAACCTGAGATCTCATCAAAATATTTAGTTTTCTGTTTCCTATCTAAAATCATATATAACTTAAATTGAAACGTGTAAAACTACAAATTTCCCTTGTAGATTGCGGTCTTCTGAGTCGTGCTACAACAACCGACGCTGGTCTCGACGTTGGTAACCACTTAGACGGCTACTCGGGTTACAGTTCACTATCTCGCAACCATGATAACCTTATCTCTCAAATCTTATAGACCACAGAACCAAGCTGAGCTTTTTTAAGGGCGTGAAACATGGTGTTTCATTATGTGAGAAGAGTGTCTGAGAAGAATAGACCAATTTGGAAAAATAGTCTACAGGACTGTTTACATAATGAGGTGCTTCATAATTTGTTTTAGAATGTCCTCAATAGGCCTTCTGTTTGCAGACATTCTGTTGGTTGCTACATTGAATCGGTATTTCATACAACCTGTTGTGGATTAACCTAAAGTTTGAATCTGTGTTGTCGAAAATAACTTATTAAACGCCATGCAACGACAGCCATATTTTTCCAAAGTTTCGTCTAATTTGATTTTACCTAATACCCAGTTTCTAGCCTATTACAGTACTTTAACCGGCTGTTTTTAAGTCATTTCCACAGAATCTCTGATAAAGACGATGGCATGCCTTTATTTCCTTCATTGTCCAGAATCGTATACAAAAAATGTATGTGGTCTGGGTGTCGTCTTCACCGAAGTGTTAGATTAACATGGAACATTTCAATGGCGAGCTGTAACTTAACGAGACACCGCGAAGGGGGAGCTGTAAGGACCCACGCCTGCAGCATGATACACTCCATCACCCCTCACGTCGCTCGTTCAACTGACCAGGGGTCTAGGACCCAACAGCTTCTGCTCATCAGGAACCCTCGTGGGCCGGACTCCTGCGCCACAGTAGGGCGCATGCCCCGCCCTTGTACTTCCTTCCCATTGGTTTGTCTGACACCACGTAACCAATAACAACAAAGTCAGTCTCTCACCAATACGTAGGGGTTCTTGTAAAATCCGCAGGGGGTCTTGGGCTCAGTTAGCGAATGGGAGAACTGTCTACTCCCCGCCTTTAGGTTTTTTCCTTCTTGTTGTGTAACCCCCTTCTGGCTGTTGGCGTTGTTGTTTTGAGACGTAGAGGGAGGGCTTCGTGATGTGCTCAGTCCCGCTGAGAATTCGGAATCAAACAGTTGCATACAACGACTTGTGTGCCACCGAATTTTTGTTCTTGTTTTCTGAAGCATTAGGATTCTGCAGGGGGCAGAACTGTGCAGTGACATCGAAAGCCTACGTATGTGCGTGTGATAAAAATGTGTTTTTGCCAGAGATGATAATCGTGGTTATATTTTTAGGGGGGGATGAAATCTGGAGATACGTAGGCGAAATGTTTTCGTCGTTAAATTTCCCGAGTTAGGTTTCGTGTACAGTTGGGTGCTCGAAGACAGGAGATCAGTGTGACCTCCACTGGAGGGGCGGGGGGGTCTGTGCATGAGAAGAATCAGTGCACTGTGACAGACTTGTTAATGTTTTTTGAATTATAGCCAAAGCTAACACTTGTAAACGGAAAGTTCCCGAAGTGGTGGAGGCCACTGACCTCCTGCCACAACTTCTGGTCACCCAAAATGTTAAACCCATTTATGGACACCACACATCATCATCTGGCCACGATGGGTCTGAAAATGAGTCCACCGCCTGTGGTACCCCCGCAATCAGCAGGGCACCAGATACCCTCGGCTGGAACCATGTCCTCTTCAGTTTCAACCGGTGGATCCGCGACAGGCGATATCTCTGCAGGACAGACGGGCTCAGCGATGAACCATCACAATCACTTCTCGCCACAAGCCACGAATGGGTATCACCATCACACGGCGATGGGTCACCATCTGAATCCCCACGCGGGGTACGCGGCGAGGGACTTCCTGCTCCGACGGGAACATCACCACGACTTCTCTGCGGCTCCCGTGCCTTCAGCGGCCGCGGGAAACACTGACCCTTCCGCAGCGGCAGTTCTGTTCCCATCCACCGCGCTACACCACGACCCCACGCCCCAACTGAACCATCACCACCACCATCACCATCAGCCCTTAGCGAATCACCATCTCAATCACCACATGCGGCTCGGCATGGATGTCTATACCCGCGCGGCGGCCGAGCACCACCCGTATCATCAGGCGTCCACACATCACCAATTTGCGGCCATGAACGCGGCGGCAGCTCACCACCACGCCATCACCAGCATGGCACCTCACCACCCAGCTCACCACGCAACTCACCACGGGGCGTTCTTCAGATATATGCGTCAGCCTGTTAAACAGGAGATGTCGTGCATGTGGATCGAACCCGAACAGCCAGTTCCAAGGAAGACGTGCGGGAAGACGTTCACGACGATGCATGAAATCGTGACCCACCTGACTGTGGAGCACGTCGGTGGGCCTGAGTGTACGACACACGCCTGCTTCTGGCAGAGCTGCCCCAGGAACGGGAGGCCGTTCAAGGCGAAGTACAAACTTGTGAATCATATTCGTGTTCATACAGGCGAGAAGCCGTTCCCGTGTCCGTTCCCCGGGTGCGGCAAAGTGTTTGCCAGGTCCGAGAACCTCAAGATCCACAAGAGGACGCACACCGGTGAGTCTGACTTAAGTTAGTGCACATGGCACTGCGTTCAGCAGTTGCTGCTGTGTGACATACGGTCGGGCAAAATACAATGCGAACTGCTTGTAGGCTATAAAGCAGAATATAATTTTGATTAGGGCTGCTGGTAGTCTGTTTAAATTCTTGTGCTAAGATTTCCAAGTAAGGCCACTAACTATATATGTAGGCTACTTAGGTCTATTTGACTTCATGTGTTGTCAGTGTAGGTCCTATTTCGAAACGATAGTATGCCTACTGCATTATTTACAGGAGTCAGAGGCCTGCTGCTAAGTCTGAACCTCGATTATTTTAAACACGACTCATAAGTTAGTGAACGTCACTTATATCGCTTTAAGTAACATTAGGTTCAAGAATTTCTAACCGTCCGTTTAAGTCTCTATAAATGGAATGGCCACTTTGTCTCTAAAATGCTGAATAAACAGCTTCAGGCTTGGACTGTTTAATTTTTCTGACGGGTGTACGTCTTGCAAACAAAAATTGTTTTGAGATCTTATATAGGCAACTCCACAAGTAAACTACCAGTGAAATTTTAGGTTCCCACGGCGCAGTGTGTCAGACAGCTGTCTTATTCACCGTGAAATGGCGATTTTCAAGGCAGTGTCTTTGAATTGTGGCCTTAGGATACCGCATAATCTTGAACTGTCTATCAATCGCCTTAGTATTCCGGGTAGAAGACCACAACCCAAACATGATCAAATTTCAATAGAAACATTTTGAAGGAATACCTTCATTTTTGTTATTAAATTATTTATAATTTTGAGTCCCTGTAAAGAGGAAACATAGCAATTGGTAAATAATACTCATCTTTCTCAGTATGAAATTACATGTTTTGCCGTAATTTGTCGCGTGTGTGAAGGAACAGTTATGAACAGGCTGTAGAGGTATGGGTATATATGAAGATAAGTTTATGATACAGTTTAATAATAGTCCCAACTAAAAGAGTGTCTCTGCCCTGAGAATATTGGTATAATAGGCCTAAGTTATAGTCTGTTGTGTCAAGTATTGGCTCAGAAATGAATTGACAATAAGCAAGCTGGGTTTGAGCTCTGCATGTGTGTTTATAAGTTTCTTGCTTATTGATGATGCTTCTAGTCGTAGGAATGCGTGCCTGAATAAGCCTAAATATCCGAGAAGCGAGGAGTAGAATTATTAACTTATTTTATCATTATTCCCACATTTTATAGGCCTTGAGCCACTTAATTAAAAGAATTTGGCTTCTTTTCAAAATGTAAAGTGTGTTTTAGTTGCTTTTATGTAGACTGTTAGAGACTATGCTTCTCCCCTACTGACGTCATGTTCCAGGGCTGATTTTCATTTAAGTTATTCATTCCTGATTATGCCAAATTTCGTATGACCCACCGTTTACTAGTCCTGATTATGTGCACTGGAAATATACATATTTTAGTTATCTTTGTAGGCTCTGTATTTAAATTTTGTTGGCCAAATAGCCTACTATTCGCAGGTTTAATCCGTCAAGAGAATTCTGCAGGAAAGTGGTTAATTTAAGACAATGCGTTGATTGCAATTGCTGAATTAGCCTATAGGTTATGTAATTTGCTATTATGAAAGAGCGGAAGGAAGTAGAATTTCACGTGTAGGCCTATTTAAAAGAAAGAGAAGGGTATTGCAGGCTATAGGCTAATGCATACACGTAGACATATTTTTAAAAGTGTCTTAAAAATTTCCAGAACACTGAATAGGGGAAATGAATGCTGAGTTTATGGGCTTATATTTTCAATAGGGTCTGTGATATGACAATGACGTGGAAGCAAGGAAAACAGTCATTATTTGTCTTCTGTTTATGTACGATTCAAAAGTAAATTGAACACAAATAGTTTGTTACAAAATTTGCATGACGTGCGTTTCTAAGCATCATTAATTACAAATGTCACAGTGTCTTCTCCGGACTAATAATAACCTGTAACATGTAGGCCTGTAATATAGACCTATGTATATGTCTGTGACAAATTGTAGATATTTAGGGTAAGCTTTATTTATTTGTTGGATATAAATTCGTTCACTCTGGAAGGAAAGTTGCTGAGAGAATTTTTTTTAGAAAATTTATGTTACTTAATTTCTCCCGATTTTATATCTAAGCTAATTTAAATAAACAAGTCTTTGTAAAGAAATCATTTCAGAAATAGGGTAAGCGTAATCCTATAGGATAATTTTGCTTAGACCTTTAACTTTCGATTCTATAGTATGTAGTCTGTTTTATGTAGCTGGTAGAACTCCTTAAATAACCTACAAAACTACTGAATTCATATCTGTAGGTACACGTAACAAAATTAATTTCTTTGGTGTAACCTTGTAAAAACAAATTAGTCTTATGGGCTTATCATTTTACATCTTACTTTATTGGCTTCGTAGAGTAACGATTGCAGATTCTTTTAGACTCTTATGACTTTAAATATGCCTTGCTCTTTTCTCCTTCGCCTTCCATTTTGTTATTAGTCTCGATGTTACAAAGTTTTAGCCGGAAAACCTGAAGGATTTTTTCTGAAATTACCTTAACGCTTTCTCTTCATTGTTCCGTTTTATCAGTCTTGGTTTCAGAAAATTGTAGCCAGGAAACCTGAAGGAAATAGACTATGAGTGAGATCTAGGAGTAGATGGGAGGATAATATAGAAACGAATTTTGTACAGAGTATGATTTGATGGAAATGATCATCTGGCTCAAGAGAGAGTCGTTAGTCGAGGTTCTGTGTAATATCACATCGTAATAAACTTTACATCTCATTAACTCACTCTATGGAGCAAAGTCCTCCTTGGAAAGCTAACACTGTACCCTCATCTAGTCAAGAAATTACCCGCATCTTAAGGAACTCAACAAGTTTCATAACCCTGCTCAAAAAAGCCCGTCACTTTTCCTATCCTGAACCAGTTGAACCGAGTCCACATCTGACCCTATTTCCTTAAGATACATTTTAATAGTATCCTTCTACCTAAGTGTAGATATTTGTAGTGGGCTGTTCCCAACAGGCTTTGCAAACAAGGAAGAAAGCACATCTTTTGGTAAAAACATAAAATAATTTAATATCGGAATGAAATCAGATGTAGCATTTGAAATGTAAAACAGAACGTGTGGAATTAGCAGCTGTTAATTTAAAGAGTATAAGTGGATTTTTCAGCTGATACCAGAACACCTCAGGGAAGTACCTCTTAGGCCTATAAACCAAGGTGAAGCAGCACACCAGATCCCAGCTACAATGTGATTGTAGATAAAGACAAAAAAATTAAATACAAATTAATGTAAGATCATGAAACTTATGCATATTACACGCAACGTAGAAATTAAATTATATTGGAAATCGACCCATAATTTGCAAATAAACTAAATAATATTAATAATATTGTCCTGAAAGACGGAGGCAAAGTGCACATATCTGGCTGTGAACTCATTCCCGCTGCTTAGGAGTTTGACAAGGATAAATGACAAGAATATTTTATTTCTCTTTACCTGAGGAGACTGGACACATCGAACCAAAGCCGATTTCAGACATTATCAGTTGTATCAACCACAGAAATTATTCCAAGTGAACTGCAAAACAAATTTCATACTGGTCCTTCGTGATACGTTGCTTTGTTCTAATCACCAGTGCAATCACAAGAAATTGTTTAAACCATGAGCGCAACATTCGTGACTTGAAGTATGTCCATGACCATACCCGTATTATGTACCTACCCATGTCTGTGTGACGTAAATAATAATAGGATCTTTTTTAAAACTAGTAATGAAGATTAAGAAAGCGTATGATGACTGGTAAAATGAATGAAACAGTATTTATATTCTGTCTGTTATACTCAAGAAAGAGGTTAGGCTCGTTAATGTTAATGATAATGCTAATTAATGTGGCTAAAAGCTGTAGCAAAGTCCATAACCTATCGGTAAACATTTGGCGTATTTCTTGTTTTGATTGGTTTGAAACAAGGAGATGGATTATAGTCGACTTTGCTTTTCAACTTTAGTTTAAAATACGGCATTAATTATAGGCCTATTTAAGAAAATCGACATGATAGAACTGAATGAGAAACTTAAACTTGTGGTCTACGCCGATGGTATAAAGCAAAAGAAAAGCTTCTTAGGTGATAGCAAAGAGGATTGAACTAGGAGTAAACACAGAGTACCTATGCTCACGTCTTGCCACCAGAATGCAATGTTAATTTAACGATTAGTAGGCCCAATAAATCCTTTAGAAATGTGGGAAGAACAGCAACAAATCAGAATTACATTTACAAAGAAGTTTCGAGAAAATTAAATTCGGGGGAATTCGTACCAGGCTTTTGTTAAGTAGATTTTATCTTCCCGTCTTCTGACTAAACTGTAAATAGATTATTGGAAGAGGCCTATTCAAAAATATAGACTATAATGGTACCTGCTTTGCCGCTGTTTGCAGAACTTTGTCTCTCCCACTTAAGGGAGAGTGAGGGTGTGTGAGAACATAGCTAACAATTTTTTTTTTTTGGATCTAGGAAAGAGGAAGTAAAGGAGAGCGGAAACTATTGCATTATAAAGAGTTTTAAAATTTGCTTTCCAAAACATTGTTATTAGGACATCCAAATCAAGGAGAATAAAATACGTGGGACATTAACACGGATGGGGGAAGTGAGAAATGCACACACAATTTTATTCGGAAACCCTGTGGGGAAGTGACCATTTTGGAGACCTTGGTGTAGATATTTCTGAAGCACGCAGGGTGTAAGAGTTCACGTGGCTCGGGATAGGAACCAGTGGCAGGTTCTTGTGTACGCAGTAAAGTATTTTCGTGTTCAATAACAAGCAGGAAACTTCTTTACCAACTGAGCGGCTGTTAATTAGCTTTTCAAGAAAGACTCTGTTTTATGAAATGCGTTATGGCAACGATTGAGTGAAGAATCGATGATTGAGTTGCTAAGAAGGGGATAAACAGGCCTAATTCTTTTCGGATATTGGGCATTTACTATCATAAATGTCTTCTTAATAAACTCTAAAC